TCATCTAGGTGTCCATGTTCTGTGATGTCCCAAGTGAATGTGGGCCCATGGACCTCAATGAGCCAGGTTATGAGTTTGTGTTCTTCTGGCCAAAGCCAGCCTGCCAGATCAAGATTGAGCTCCATGGCCCTTTCAGCAGTGAAATGAATGCCTGGAGTGAAGTCTGGCAGGTGCATGGGTAGTGGTTGGAGGCCAGTGAGTGGATTGTAAGGCAGACTGTGCATGATGCATTCTTCCACCATTGGGGCAGGTACCATCCAAACCTTCTTGGCAACTGGCTTGTACACTGGAGTGCAGAGTACAGGGTCCAGTTGGTAAACACTATTAAGGGCAGCTATAGCAGAGGGGTTTAGTATTGTCTGAGTGGAGGAGAGGAAAGTGAAAGTGGGCAAGGGTATTCCAGTGGGTATATTCTGCAGCATGGGTGCCACAGGTGAACAGAAGTTCATTGAGGTGAAGGCTAGGGAAGACAATGTGGGACTGAGGAACAGATAACAGCAGCTGAATAGGAAACAGGATGTCTTAGTAGGCTCTCCTCAACCATTTGGTGGAGCATTGATATTCAAACACCCCATTTGACAACACTCTGGTGACTCTGGCAGTGCTTGCTGCACTTAAATTGTGGGCAACCCTTGCATCACAGGCATGTGGGCAGAGTGTACTCATGGCCATCATTCAGGTCATGGAGAGTGATCTGCTGCCTGCTATCAGGATAGTCATTTGTTACCATGCTCATGAGGCAGATGAATGGATGTCCAAGAAGCATGTTGAAGTTGGCATGTTCAATTACCTGGACCTGGAGCATGACTGGCCCAGCTCTGAAGTTGAGTTTCAGGTTCTCTAGAATGCCTACAGTAGTGTCTTTAGACATGTTAGCAGAGGTCATAGTCATGAGATGGTTACTGCACAATGGCAACCCAATCTTTTCCCAGATGTGCCTAGGCATGGCAATGATCTCCAAACCAGAATCAAGCACACAGTTAATTGTGACATTGGTCCCAGGGACCTTGGCTTTGATGCAGCAGAGCAGTAGGGTGTGGTGAGCCACAATGAAACCATTGTCACCATGGATGATGCAATCTCTGTATTCACATGTGGTTTGGTGAGGGTTGTGGCCAGTCAGTTCATTTATGTGCACTCCCTCATCATTGTCACTATGAACTACCTCAATCTCATTTGTGGTGATGTGTTTCACCATGGTGATGTCCCTGAACTGTTTGCAAAACTCAGGGGCTACTGTGAATAGTTCCTTGACAGGCAAGGCAATGCTGGTTTCTAGTACATGCTCCATGATACACTTGGGTGTGGCTTCATCTTCAAGTGGAAATGAGTAACAATGTGGTTCTGGTTGTGGGCTGGAGCTGGGTATGATGTTTGTGATGGAAAAATCACTGTGGGTGCAGGATCCTTGCATGCAGGTGTCAGAGTGGGATTAGTCAGAGGAATATATGGTTTCACAGCAGTGAATGTTGGTGCAGGTGCAGAGGGCTTGGATGCCTGGTGAGTGGCATGTGAACTTTGAACACCAGGGGAAATGATTTCCTCTTCAACAGTGGCTGTGTGAGGATCTACTCATGGAGGGTTGGGCAGACATGCTGTGTGTCATGCTGTAATCTCTACCTCATCAAAGCAGGCTTTCTTTCCACAGGACACAACTGTGCCCTTGTTACCTTTGTCTGCCTGATAGGTAGCCCAAGCTTGGGTGATGTATGCCTGGAAGCCAGGGTCATCTAAGTCAGCAGCTGATTCATCTACATCCTGGATGGTGATTAGAAAGGCAGACAGCTGAATCTCCAACTGCACATTGACTTTGGGGTGGGCAATGCAGAAGAGGTTAGCTGTGCTCTGGAGAACTGAGTTGCATGGGGCAGCAGGAGTCACAGCACATGCACTGGCCTGGTCTCTGTCAGCCATGATGCAGTCAACAGCTTCTTTCAGTGAGTCACATTCAGGGAAGCATGGAATTTGGCTTCCATCTGCAAGATAGAGATGGTTGTCTGTACCCCTCATGATCTTACTGGCATGGATATAGACTTTGACAAGCATGCACATCCTCATCCAGTGATTGGGGTCTGTGCAGAAGCTGCAGCCAGGTCTGTGTTGCTGTGGTGGGTGCTGTGTCTGGAAGTTGTACTCTTGTTTGATGACAGTACCAGCTGGTGAGGGAGTTGGAGCTGGTGAGGCTGCAGCTGCTAATGTTGGCACTGCACTTCAGAGAGTGGATCCCATCAGGAGCAACTTGGCAGCTTTGACAACTTCTGCAAGTGAGTAAGGGTCATCTGGGTGGAGGTCAGTGTGGACTATGGAGAGTTGATGATAAATGTGACCTGTGATGACCCTTGGAAAGCCATTTAGGAACATTGAGTCCTGTTCTGTCTCTGCAAGCTTTTTAGTGTTAATGAGGAGGGCAGAGATCTTAGCAAATTTCCACTGGTATTCTCTGAGGTTGTCCTGGTTTTGCATGGGCTTGGACTGATATTCTTCAATGAGGTACTGCAAATCTGGACAGCAGTAGTGGTCATCACCTTCACAGCCAGGGTACAAGCCTTTAACAGTGACTACAAAGGCATCCCAGTTGGGAGTGGCTTCTGGAGGTGTTTGCCAGACCTCAGCTTCTTCAAGGTCAGCATAGCAGATTGCAGCTCTAATCTTGCCTTGGTCATCAAGAGCTGTGAGAGTACTGAGGAAGTCAATGTCTTCAAGGTAGTGCAGAAGCTGCATGGGGGAATCTCTGCTAAACTTAGGTGAGTTTTGTGTACTGCAGAGCAGCATCTGAAATTGGGGATTAGCCATTGGTGTGTTCACTTGTGGCAGCAGTGCTGGATTGGTAATGGGAGGAATGGGTATTGGCTGCAGATGCAGAGTGGGTGGTATGATGTGCAAGTGTACTGGCAGAAGTGTCAGCAGGTTACTAATTGGCTGATGGGTGGTCTGTGACTGAGTGAGTGGTTGTGGCAGTGTGGTGGATGGAGCAGGCATTCTGGGTATAGATTCAGAGGCATCAAAGAGATGGGAAAAAGAGGGCATTGGTGATGAGGAATCAGATGATGTGACAGGTGTTAAAGGTGATGGCAGGGTTTCAGGTCTTCAGGGAGTTGAGTGGATAAAGCCACCAGGAAAATCAGGGGCAATGAGATCCAGGTGATCCAATGTGACAGATATCCAATCTGCTGAAATATCAGGAGTGATCACAGGTAGTACCCACAGGATGTCAGCAGATAATTGCACATGATTCTGTGCTTTGGGTGAAACTGGGTGGAACAAGTCAGAGTCTTCTGACAGGTTCAAGTTGTGGAAGTGAAGGCATAAATTTTCTAGTTCAGTGCATTCAGTGGTGTGCCTGAGCAACCTTCTGGAAGCAACAGCAGAATCCCTTGTGGTGGGCTCAGGTTGTAGGAAAAGTCCAAGTAGCTGTATAATACAAGCTAGATGGCTTAGATAACAACAATAAAGTGAAGGGAAAAAATTGCTCATCCCAAGGGATTCTGGACTGTTGAGATGTCATATACCAAGAAACCCACAGTTTGGTCTTATGTCCAGAATGCCAAGTCAATGCCAAATGCTGAAACAAACTCTGTTCCTCACTATACTTTTCTAGTTAGCTTTTGTACTGCCCTCACTTGTGCCAAGGCAGTGTCTGTCTTCAGCTCTCAGGCACCTGCCTCCTCACTTGACTTTTAGTTAGTTCCTGGCATTGCTATTTAGTCCCTCACCAGTAACCCTGGCCTTTGGGTTGCTGGTCTTCTGTATATATACTCTACATACATTGTACTTAGTTCCTCAGTTTGAATATCAACCTAGTTCACCCCCTAAGCTCCTAGCTTAAGCCCAGGATGACTCTCAGCTTTCACTCCTGACCCCCCTTGGCTTTCTTTGACTTCAACCTGGCTTGCACAAGGGTCTAGCACATGAGCTAAGACCAAGGGTTGTTGCACCCAGTGTAGGGGATGTAATTTCCCTACCAGGGGAATTGCCTTATTTTGCTCATTTACTCCATTTTCATTCTAGATACTTTTTTCTATGAGTTGCACTTATATTTCGCATTTTTGGTTGCTTAGTCAGCAGTAGTGCTACTTGTGTATGGTTTTTTCCTTTAAAAATAAGAGACAAGTTACCCTAAGATGAGAGATGAGCCTGAGCAGGTCATTCCCTGCACCAAGACAGCCATAGAAACCTTCAGATGACTACCAGGATCCAGTCCCAGGCTATAGAAGCCCCTTTTGGCCTACTCTCTCCCCTCAGATCTCATCATTCTCTCAACCTCTCTCTTAAATCCTTTTCCTACAACTGGAGCCCACTGCAAGGGGCTTCTGTCTTAGCCTGGCACCCCTCCCCAACCTTCTCAGATTTGTTTTTGCAGTTTCCAGCTTTGTTTTTGCATTTTTCAGGCTCAGTTTAGCAGTTTCACCTCTCAGTCTTGTGTTCACACTTGCATTAGTCACATATTCATGTTTTCTTGCTTGCACGCATTTGCATATCAACTATTCACACTCGTATAAACTCCTGAAGTCATGCTTGGCCTCAAATCCCATGTCAAGGGTCTCCTGAAGTTCTGAGCTTCTCTGGGTGCCCTGAGGACCTTCGAAGCTGTTTTGATGACATAATCGACTTCTGTGATGGATTTGGGCTCTCAGATGGGCCCAAGCAAATCAAGTTTGCTCTCGAATATGTGCCTTTCGAGTTGGCAGACCTCTGGTCCCACTTCGTCAGTAGTAGCAAAGGAGATTTGGCTTGTTTTACCTCTGAAATCACTCAGCTGTACCCAGAGCTGGAGGAGTCCTGCAGGGACTGGTCTTTCAGACTTAGATGCACATTCAATGGCTCAGACACTGTCTCAATATCTTCTCTGGGCGAGTATGTTTGCAGTTATTGTCATTATTTGGCATTGCTTGTAAAGCAGAAGAAGCCATCATCCCATGTAGCTTGTGCTTTTTTTGATGGGTTCCCACCCACATTCAGATGCGAGGTGCTCAAGCATCTTGACTCCCCAAGTCAAAGGGTTACTGTATCTGGAAGAGCAGCAAGGCTGACAGTTCACATGCGCAGCCACCAGGGATTTTGGACAGCCATACATCCCACCACTTGTATTTGTTCTGCTTCTTCTGTGGACTTCTGGGCCATATTCGGGCAGGTTGCCATTCATTCAAGTTGTATTTAGCTTCAGGAAAGTGTCTACTTGTAAACAGTCGTGTTGTTCTACCTACAGGTCAGGAAATCCCATGTGAAGTTGCCGGATGAACTCTATGAGACTGTCTTGACAACTGGTCTTTGTTGACAAGCCAGTTTGAGGCTTGTATGCACTCATTGCCTGCTCACTTGCTTTCACCCACAGCTGCACCCTCTCAAAGCATGTTTGACACACCATTGCACATACCCACTCAGACGAGCATCATGTATCCTCAGTCCCTACCTACTGTCCGGCCCGAGCCAGCAGTACCCAATCTGCCAGCCATTTCATCTTGTCGCTCGTCAGCCAAGCACTCTCGTAGCTCACCGCACGTGCAGCCACAGTCGAGGTGTCCATGTGGCCGAGGCCAATCGCCCTCGTGTCCTTGTTCACGTTCGCACTCGCAGACTTGAACAGGTTCGTACACACGTTCGAAAGATGAATTCATACTGGTCCAGTTGTATGCCCACAGCTTGAAGCAGTATCACACTCGAAGGCGCTTATATTCATGTTCAACCAATGGCTCACCCCCTTCTTCCTCATTGTCGTCCTTGCACTCATGCTCTCGCTCACACTCGAGGAAAGTGCATTTACTCACCTGCTCCAAGCCGAAGCGGTCATGTGCCCTGGCACTCTCGAAGAGCATGTTAATGCTGCGTGTCACACAAATTCCATTATGTTGTTTTTTACTTCTTTTGCTTATGCATCTTACAGTATCTAGTATGGATCTACCTACATCGTAATGCGGAATTTTTGGTACATTAGATATGTTCGAATTTTCTTGTTTTGCCCTTCATCTTTTACCCCCCCCAGGCTCGAGTCCCCTGCAGAGCGCTGTTTAGCTTTGCACCTGGCACCTTCCCATGCTCTACACAATGCCTTTCATCCGCGGATACAGTTCTGACCAAGCCACCATCAACACCGCTCGTCACTTGTCAAGGTGAATACTACCTCCCTCATACCGAGCATGTGTCCAGCGCATATCTCGCTCGTTTTTGTGTTGCGCCTCACGATTTTTGGAAGGCTTGTACTACTCGACATCAGCTCTCTGTTGGTACCAAGCTCGTTTACATGCGCCCTGCCATTCAGGAGATATTTGTGTTTTTGTGGATAGGTCCATTCTCAGGTCCTGTGGTCGTATCTCGCTCGTTTCCGCGTCGCACCTCTCGCCTTTTGGGAGGATTATAGTCCACGACGAATTCTCCATGTTGATATCAGGATTGTTCTGGTAGGTGCAGTAGCTCTGGAGATATTTGCATTTTTGTACGAAGGGCCATCCTCGAGGTCTTGCCGCAGTAGCTCGCGCAGTTCTGCGCCGTTCCTCTCGCTTTTCTTGTCGTTCATCCCTCTCGCTGAGCGCTTCCTGGGGACACCTGCTTTGTAAGATTCCGCGCAACCGTTGTCGAGATATCAGCATTTTCATACCCAGAGGGTTTCAGAATGGTTTGGCATGTAACTCAGGATCGGGTGGTCCAATCGGCGTATTTCTGCATTCTCCCTGTTCTTCCGGAGGTCCCCTACTGCCTCCTAGAATTTCGTGTTGATCGTCCCAGCTGTTGTTGTGCGAGTTGGCCCCTTCTCCCTGCCCTTGAGGTCCTCTCATCATATCTTGTGCATATCTGAGCACTGCTCCTCTCACTTTCCCGGAAGTCCATTCCCCCTGCATGGACCTTTCTGTGGATGCCCCTTCTGTCAAATTCTGTGCAGCTATTGTCGAGATATGCTGAAAAGACCATAGAGCTCAAGCTTAGGCTGGCTGTAGCAAGATTCACATTCATTGATGGGGAGTGAGCCATAGTGAGCAGGATGCATGTGACCTTCTTCATCATACTGAGGGAGAATGAATCCAATGGCAACATTACTGGTGTTGATGGAAAGAATGACTGGCAGGTCAGATGAGTAGTCAATGGGGCAAAGGGCAGGAGTGGTGTCATGCACCAAAGGTGTTTGGTAACATGGACATGGATACTGCTGATAAATGGAGATGAAGACTAGAACCCTCATGTGAAGAAGGACAGCCAGGAATGTTGGCAGTCATCCCTCACATAAGAATGAGTTGTCAGTACTGGAAAAAAAAAAGAAAGAAAAAGAAGGAAGCAGGTTAAGTGCCAGTAAAAATTCTCAAGTGCCCATGTATGGCATTCTGGTTTTTGACATATCTCCACCATTTCCACAGATACCAACACCAGTCCCACACTCATGTATAGTGCTCAGCCATGCAATCCTACCTTCCAAAATTGGGAAGGATCTGCACACTCCACATGTTTCTACAGCACTCCCTCCAACAGACACTCATTTCACTTGTCCCCTTTGCTAGGGACAATGGCTATGTATATCTACCAGGAGTTCCTACCAGCTTCTGTCCTGAACCATCCTGGTACATCCCATCCTTGTCTGCCCCCTCTCAGCCCATCCAGCTTGGACAGTGCATTCTTTTTGTCAGTGTGACCTCTAGGAGGACATTCTTTGGTTGCCTCAGGTCTGTCATTCAGTTAGACAGGTCTTATGTGGTCATTTCAGTCTCTCTGGTCCAAGAAGCATATGGATCCTTCCTCCCTGCTCCCTGCAATGTCTTCATACCAATCTTGTCCTTCATTCTTCCAAAATTGCAACAGCTACAGTATAATCTACTGTTCTCCACTCTCCCTGATCACATCCATGATGAGTATGATGCACATCTTTCCTTCTTATTGCAAGATACAGCAGAAGACACTCCCCCTTCATCCTCTCTTCCAACAGAGTCTCATTCATGAAGTTTTTATTTGCTTCACTGAGAGGACAGTTGGGGGAGAAGGTTGTGATCCCCTATGCTCCTGTCACCCCACAGACCCCCAAAGCTTGACCCCTTTCTGACACCTGACTCACCCTGTCCACTTTTGGATGTACTATATTGGCATCAGATCAGCACTGCCTCTCTGTCATCCCACCTTGGCCTAGATGTGATCTCTTTGAGATGTGACATGCACAGCCTCCCCCTAATGCAATCCCAGTGCATTTTCCCAGTTTCTGACATTACTTGACTCATATTTTGAAATTCTGACTGTCCTTGACTCACCTATTGCTAATACTTACCAATTTTTTGCCCTTGCTTACTGATTCTTCATCTCTTGGCTTACTTATCCTTACCAATGTTCACCAATGCTTTCTAAGATGATTGCCCACTACTTACATTCCTTACTTATCAGTTACCAATCACTTACCAAGCATTTACACCTTGTTTTCCATAGGCAATGCCCCTGTACTGTATATAAACCACTGTACTTAGATAGCAAAAAAAAAAGGGAAGACATTAGAGCACCCTTCTTGCTCACATTTTATCATCTCTCAGTAAATTCATTCATCAGCTTCATTAGTTGAGACTTTATTAAGGGTCTAACTATCATCTACTTCACCTATTGTCATCTATCATCAAGTATCTTTGCATCTGGACCTTCCTGGGCTCAGATTAGCTTGGGACATTGAATTAAGTTGTCATCTATCCTTCTGTAAGCTGACAGCAGTCTACCCCATCACATCCTCTTGCATTCCTGCTCCCTCTTTGTCAGGAGCACCCCCAACCCTCAGCACTCATCTTTGAGTGTTGTAGCTTGCAAAAACCCATCCAAGTAACAGGTTCTACCATCTAGGTACTGCATAGGCACACCACCACTTGCTTTCTTTGTCTTTTGTGTTGGTTTTGGTTGGTTTATACCACTGAACCACACTTTGACTCACAATGGAAGAAACAGCAAGCTTCAAGGCATCAACTGCATCTTGCTGGGGCTGACCCCAAATAAACAGAGCATTCTTGTGATAAAGGTCAATGAGTGGGTGAGCCAACTGGGAGTAGTTCACAATCCAGATATGAACAGTACCACAGAGACCTAGGAATGAGCAAACATCTTTGGGTGTAGTGAGTGTTGGCCAGTTGATGAGAGGATGGCATGCTTGACCAAGAATGATAACACAAGGCTGGCAGATCTGAGATTTCATGCCAGAGAATGTTCTGTCAGCATGAGCAAACTGATGCATGATTCTATGCACATCTGCAGCATGTTCCTGAATGAAGTGACATATGCTGGGATCCTTGGGTAACATTTCAGCATTGCCATCAGCATCTTCACAGCAGGCTGCAGGACCCTTGACAGGCAGGTCATAGATGAAAACATTGGCAACATGAGAGATTTTGTCCTGTAGAATGAAAGCTGTACAATTCTGAAATTCTGATGGCAAGTTGGTGTAGCCTTGAGGCATGGCAGTATGGCACAGTAAGCCAAGAGGCATCATGAAGGACATCAGATCTTGGTGATTGGGATGGAATTGACATGCATCAAACCCTGAAAATAGATCAAAGACCATGTAGCATTGATGACCAGCAAATGGCTCCACAAAGTCATCCAATATTGGCAGAACACCAGCATCTTGAATGGTAACCTTATTCAGAGGCTGTAGATCATGGACAATGTGGATCTTGCCATTCTTTTTCATAATGCAGAACCATTTGGAGTGATAGGATGACTGAGCTGGCTCATAAAGACCAGCAGTGATCTTCTCCCAAAAAGCTGTATGACATGTTGTAGGAATAGGTAATGAGATAAACCTAGAATTAGTAATAGTTGATGGGCAAGTATATTGCTCAACCCTAAAGGGAGGTTCTCACTGGAGAAAAAGAAGTGTAGTAAAAATGTGAAAAATGCGAACTAAAAAAAGAATAATTAGCTCAGTGTAGGAAATGTCCGAGTAGCTGTATAATATAAGCTAGATGGCTTAGGTAACAACAATAAAATGAAGGGAATGAATTGCTCATCCCAAGGGATTCCTGACTGTTGAAACTAGAAGGCAGGACTCAGCACTTTGTAGCAGTAACAATTTGTGATGTGTGTGACATGATCTGCAGTGTAGTACTGGCAATGCAAGTGGTGCAAGCATATGTGTAGTTTGTGTGCAGCAGTAGGTGAGACATGCAGTGTAGACAACATGAAAAAGAAACTCATAGTGACCTTCTGAGTGCCAAAAGGTATCATTCCATACCTAAGTACAGGGCTTTATAGTCCAGGCAAACCCAGAACCTAAGTAAGACAGGGTACAAGCAAAGGAAAGCTGCACAACAGTGCATAAACACAAGACAGGCCTGAACACAGGCCTGAATAGGGGCTGAGGGTATACTACTAGCATAAAGGGAAAGTGACTGTGGCAAAAAGAAAAGAGTCCAAAGAAAGGATGAGACCAGAGCACAGTGGCCACAGGTACAGCATTGTGTGAGAGGGAGCAGGGGCATGGGAAGGTAGTGAGGTAGGTGGGAAGACAGCACATGAACAGCAGTGGATGCAAGTGGTCTGGGGACATATTGATAGTCATGGAACAGTCAATGATAGGGGCTTATGTGTCCAAGGAATGCAGATTCCTTACATTGGTCTGTCCAATACCTTCTGCCAGTCCTCCTGGCACTTTGGGTACTCTGCAAAGTAATAAATCTGACCTCAAAAACTCACTGAAATGTGAGACTAAATCACCCTACTGCTGAGGGCCTCTGACATGGGTTGCTTCTATGGTAAACTGAACTCATGCAAACACAACATGCATGCTTAGCCAGCAATGTGGCTGCTTGCCACTAAGTCCAGTGGTACAAACATGAAAACAAAATGCAAGAAACAAAACAAGTCCCTCAACCCCAAGACTCCTGACCAAGACAAATTCTCCTAGGGAACTCAAACTTGTTCCCTGCATCTGAGGGGTGGTTTAGAACTTGACTGTCCTTGGTTGCTCTCCTCCTCACACAGATGCCCTCATCCTTGCACTTGCTCCCCTTGACCTCACCCCATATCCTCACCCTCAAACTCCCTTGACTTCACCATGCCTCCCTCACTCTCTACTCTCATGCCCTTTGAACACAACCCTTTGCCCTCTAACCTTCTCACTACTCAAACACAACTCTCTTCTTTCCCAAGGCCTGCTCCTGGCCTTGCAGAACAACCCTCTCCATCTTCAGAACTTCTTGCCCCCAGATGCAACTCTCTTTGCCCACAAATGCTACCTGGCCTCAAGCACTCCCCTTGCCACCTAAACTTCAAACTAAACCACAACAGAAACAAACTCTGGGCAAATGAACAAGTGAGTGATAAATCAAGTGCAGAGTAGAGCAGTGACTGCTCTTTGAGGCACAGTCTTGGTGTGAAATGGTAACACAGTGTAGCACAGTGCTGTGGCTAGTACAGCAGGGATCAGCCCTCTACAAGGCAGCTCAAAGATGAACAGGTACCTGACAAAAACCTCAATCAGCCATGTATTTACTATCCTTATAGTCATAAGTGCTTTTGAATATTGCTTGTCCTTAAGGCGACTTAGCACAAGGAAAAATGCAGAAAACTCAAAACTAAACATTGGAGTGAGTAGAATCAACCCAAAAGTTAGTACAACTCAGTTGAATGACATCACACAAAGTAAATCTTGTATTAATGAAAACTATATATCAATACACTCACCAGGACTTTCACTTCATCCATCTGTCCCATTCCCATTTTGACAGCCTTGACTCTCTGTGCATGTGCACACTTGATTTCTCATACCCTGTCTGGTATTTTGTCTGGTGGCCAAAGCCCTCATGCTAAGTGTCACCAAGCAACTTTGAGTCATCCATTTTTGTTTGCTACTTTTTTGACCCTGGACACAAAGGACACTGACATAGTATATGTTTGATCTAAAATACAACATGTCACCTTTCATCTGTAGACTCTTGAGCCCTCCTCAATGATAGGTCTTTTGTTGGAACATACTGCTGTTCTGTACAGCATGTACTGCTTACATAATATTTCCATACATTTTAGCCACTTCATTTTTCCTTGTACCTCAGACTTTGTCCTACTTCGAAGACTGAGGTAATGTTTCTTACTGGTATTATACACCACTTTTACTTACCAGCTTGAGTAGTTTTCACACTCTAGGTTGGTTAATAATATAGACTTTGTCTAACTTCAAAGACTGAGTTTTCACATTCTAGTTCACCCTGCAACCTCAGTCCCTTCCCAAAATCTTTGACTCTGATGGGTGTAGGTGCTAATTTCATTCAATCTTGGTTGTCAGCCTTTGACCTCACAGTCAGGCAGACAAAGTCTTGATGCTAAGCACTGATGGACAGCTTTGAGCCATCTGTCCCTGTTGATCACCTTTTCCTTCACACTAAGGTGCCTGTACTTCCCAGTAGATGGTGTTCAAATTGAAACTAAACAGAGCACCTTGATTTCATAACTCTCCCCCCTGAGTCTCTCTCCCAGCACTGTTGCTCTCAGTGCTTCTCTCACCTTGGGGATTCTACCCCTTGGGAACTGATCTTTGATTTGTTTGACACCAGCCCTTTGCTGGTAGCTGACCATTTGCATTTGAACTCATTGAATGCCCAAACACTGAATACTTGTAAGTTATCATGAAAACAAAAAGAAACAAAGAGTGCTCAGGCTCCATGTAAGAATCCATGTCAGCTTGAACATTCTGCATGCGACTCCATCATTCCAGCCAGCATTGCCCTTCTCCAATTTTCATGGCTCTGATGCTTCCAGTGTGCTGCACATCCTCTCAACTACTTGAACTTGCATCAGCTTCATATTTCCTAGAGCCTTCTCTGCTGAGGGTGGATACTTCTGCACTAAGACAACTTAAAGGTTTGTTATGACCTTGGCACAACCTAGAATAACATAGCTGTAAGTAAGATGCAATAAGGCCAGAGTAAAAACTTGAGTTCTTGAGCTCTAAATGTGAGAACAGGTCTCGTTGCAAGTATGTTGTGAATGCCCATTGTACCAGTAGCCATTGCTTCGCTCTGAACATTGTCGTAGGTACTCATACTTTGCTTGTTGTGACACTGCATGGAGTTCCTCATACACTCCTGTGTCTGCCTCATCATAAGAAGGATTGCTCCCCCCACTTATCATAGCCTTCAACCATGCTGACCTTGCACAGCTTTTCTGTATTTCAAGTTTTGTTGACATGTAGTATTCGCACTACCCTTCACTCATCTTCATTTGGAGATCCTTTCCCCATCCAAAGTTGTCTGTTTTTCCTAGAGTAGCCAGGTTGTAAGTATAATAATATAAATTCAAAGCCAAAATTCAAGCTCCCAAGTGTGGTAACCAAGATTCTCCAGTCATCCCCCTGACAGGAGTTCAAACCACTTAGATAGTCTTGCCTGTTGCATGGTCGATTGAACTGGTTCATGGTTTCTCCACTCTGCCTTCGCAATTTCACCAAAGAGCAGTACTTGGTCACCTCCTAGCACTCTGCTCCCAGAGGGGGGCCAAGGTCTTTCTACTTTGAATCTGTCTTGTACTTTGTAGTCTTTCCTAGAATAGCAAACCTGTAAGTGAAGCCTCATAAGAACAAAAGGGGAGAAGGAGTTCTTGGGCTCTGTGTGCGAGCCTGCATCGCCTCTAACACACAGTGCATGTTCTTCGTTTGTTCAACCACCCCCCAGAGCTTCCATCACATCTCATAGTCTCTTGTACTTCTTCGCAGATACCAGGTTTCCACTACTGTAACATAGTAGTAAGCACAATGACATAAAACAGAAAAGAAAGGAGCTGTCAAGCTCCAGGCTTGAATATACTATGCCTCTCCTCAATCAAATGTCTGCTGTTGCTTCAAATGACCACTGCTCAGTCATTACTCCCAAGGCTGGTAGTCTGCATTCATACTTGTCGCATACTCCACTTTGAGAACAGTTGATAGGGTACTTGAGTTCATGTGGGTTAAATGGAGTGTTGAACATGGACAGGATGGACCCAGCATTGGGCATGGGTGTGACATAGGGACCAAGCATCCACATGGAGCTGCATGTCATGTGGTGAAATTTAGTTGTGGCACATATGGGAGAGAGGGCATGATGTAGAGATTCATTGAGTGTTGCTGTCATGCACTCAGGGTCTAGTTTAGGTTCGCTTGATGTGGTAGGGGAGCAAGAGGGAGGAGGGACAAGACTGTCCTCCACAAGCCAGTGTGCATGTGTGACATTCTCAATGTAGGTACAATCAAATAGATTGTTATTGTCACAGACCTGGATGCCAGTTTGTCTGCACTGATATGCTTGGTATGAGCCAGCCATTGTCTGATGGCCTCTGGGCCTGAATACCTCCTGGGCATCATTATACACATCAAATGGTCCCTTTGGAAAGGGCACCTGCCCATTGACATCCATGATGTCAGTGCCATTAAATATGATGCTTGCAGAAATCATGTAGATCAGCCTATGGACACCAGCTGCATTGATGATGGCTTGGGTAGCTTAAATGTTGGCCTTGATGTAGATGAAGGGGTCTTTTGTACCTCACTGTAGTAAGGTATTCCATATGATATATGTAACACCTGATTCCTTCAATATATCCAACACATCCCATTCATTGGTGACCTTTGCCCCACAAAGTGAGACACCACTGTGTCTCTGCAGGATATCCAACATGGAGACATCACCTCCTCTCACCTGCTGTTTGACAACATGTTGACCCATAAAACTGCCTCCTCATACTGTAGACATCTTGGAGCTGGAAGATCCCTTGAAGGCTTGTAGTACTTTGTCTTTCCTAAAATGATGTAGCTGTAAGTAAAGTGCTCCAAGGAAAAAACTAAACCCCAGGCTATTAAGCCCACTCAGCATGGTCTCAATACTTCTTGCATGTTGCACATCTCATTGTGACTTCCAATCTCACTGTTGTGTTGCTGCCTGTATTAACTCTCATGTGCCAGTCTGATGAGTTGCTTCAAATTTGTTTCTTGTGGCTTTTTGCAGTCATTGTACTTGTAGTGCTGTAAGGTGACATGGGCTTCTTTCTAAGTTGTCATTTGCTATAGAACAAAGTACTCATAAGTAAAAAGCTGTGAAACAAATATATAGACTTGAGCCATCAGGCTCCATATCCATGCTCATTGGATGTTGTATCCTCAACAACTGCCATTGTAATTCAAACTGTATCTGTCATGCTTGTCTTGTGGTACTTCTGTGTGATCTTTGATCGCAGTTCCTTGTAGATTCTTGAGTCACAATCACCAGAACATCAGTTGCACTTCATTGCAGGTGCACATCTTCCCTTGGGCATTCAAGTCTGGCAGTCTCTGTTGCTTTTGCTCACTGTGGTGGTAGCTTCCACATGATACCCTGTAAACAGTTGTATTCCCTAGAATGTCATAGGTGTAAGTAAAATGGCTTAAAGAGAAAACTAAAACTTGGGCCTTTGAGCCCAGTCAGCCTGATCTTGAAACCACTCACATGTTGCACATCTTGCCATGACTTTGAAACTCACTGTTGTAGGTCAAACCATATTCATCACATTTGTCTTTCTGTAACTTGTTGTGTCTTGTCCTCTGAACTGTCATCTACCCTAGAATAATGTTCCTGTAAGCAAGGAGTGGTGCAACTTAAACAAAAACTGGGGCCACTGCACTTCAAGCTCATGAACACATCTCCACAAATGGACAGCTCCATCAACTTCACATGTTTCCTGAGCACTGTGAGTGGTCACAATACATGGTGAGTAGACCATGGTTTGAGCCTGAGCACAGCTCACCCAAGAATAGTGATGGTAACCTTGATGCAAACTGGCAGCAGGAAGTTCTTCTTCTCATACACCATTCAAGGTGTTCATGTCACCTTTACCTGGCTATTGCCCACATGTCAAATTCATGGAGTCCAGGTTTGAGACTGGACCAGAGACCGAAGCAGGTGCAAGGCCAAAGGGTCAGGAACAGGCAGGGAGCAGAGGAACAGAGGTGGACTGGTTGGACTTAGTGACTGGTGGCACAGCACTGTTCCCTTGTGTGGGTTTCAGTCTGAGTCCAAGGCCAAGGTGGGGTTATCAGAGTGAACTTAGTTGATTTCAGACTGAGGAAGTACAGGCTGAATATCTAAGAGTTTATATACTAGAAGTAGCAATAGTATGGAGACCAGTAATGCTGGTCTTGCAAGGATTGCTAAGGTGATTGGTAAGAATGGTATTAGTAATGTATGACAAAGACAACTGGAGACCAGGACAGGGTATGAGGGTGGACTGGGGACAAGGCCAGGTCAGGCTTGACCAAAATGACACACACCACAAAGCAGTGTTAACTCTGCTAGACCATTCACTTCAGTCACCCCCCCAGGGGACCTATGAGGTTCATATATTCTTATAGATGTATCCACCTAATAGGTGTTGACCACCTGGGTATTCTCAGTGACTGCTGGAGATTCTCCAGAGCAAGGTGTCAGACATGGACTTTCTCCAGGATTATTACATCTATAACAGAGTGCCTGGGGTCCAAATGGGGCTTTCCCCAGTGGGTTAATAGACCTATGTCCTGGGTATCCTGGGGGATTCTCCAGCCTAAATGGACCTGTTGTCTGGGCAGCCTGGGGGATTCCCCAGCATAAATGGACCTGTTCCCAGGGCATCCTGGGGGATTCCCCAGCCTAAATGGACCTGTTCTCTGGGCATGCTGGGGAATTCTCCAGCCTAAATGGACCTGTTCTCTGGGTATCCTGGGGGATTCCCCAGCATAAATGGACCTGTTTTCTGGCTATGGTTGGGGATTCCCCAGCCCAAATGGACCTGTTCTCTGGGCATGCTGGGGGATTCTCCAGCCTAAATGGACTGGTTCCCAGGGCATGCTGGGGGATTTCCCAGCCTATATGGACCTGTTCCCTGTACATCCTGGGGGATTCTCCAGCCTAAATGGACCTGTTCTCTGGGCATTCTGGGGGATTCCCCAGCCTAAATGGACCTGTTCCCAGTGCATCCTGGGGGTTTCCCCAGCCTGAATGGACCAGGTCCCAGGGCATCCAGCCCAAACAGACCTATTCTAAGATGATCATGGGAACCTCCAGTTCAAATAGACTACCATCACAGCATGAAGGATCAATCAAAATGATTTGGAGTCTCCATGTTGCTTGTCATGACCATGACACCAACATAAGCCCCTAACACCTACTCTTCCCTCTTCTGACATGTTCCTGCACTTCTCTGCCCTCTTCTGATGTGTTCCTGCACTCCTCCTGACACCTCTCCAAGGTCTCCTGGACATGTTCTGACCAATTCTGCTCAACTCCACCCTCAGGCTGGTCACATGGAGGCCAGACCCTCATCTGTGCCTCCTCCAAGGCCTTGTCAGACTTGCAGCCCTGCATTCCAGATAGGGTTCCACCCTCATGTCAGTTTTTCTCTGTTCTTCCACTCATTCATTATTTACCCTCTCTTCCTCATTGTAGTAGTTTCCTTGTCTCAGTTAAGGTCCCCATCATCCCTACCCTCTATCCCTTGTGTTGGAGGGACTGCTAACCTGTTATACATGTATTGGTTTGCATTCTGCACTGCACTGCCCTTGACCTACATCATATGTAAGGCCACATAGTACTCTGATGTAATCAGTACAAATATCAAATAAAGTCCCCACCTCTGACTCCCTCTCAGTTCCCTCTAGAGTTTTGTCTCCACTCTCTCTGAGTCTGCTCCACCTTTGAAATATGAGGGCTGAGCTCATGCAAGGGGGCAGCACACTAGCTGAATCCAATGCTCTCTTGTCCAACCTCCAACCTCCAACTCTGACTCTGACCTCTGCCTCCAAAACTTCCCTCCATACCCTTCCACTCACTATTTGTTGAATATAATATCTCACCACCCAGTGGTTGGATTTGCTTTGGATTTTGACTGCTGTACTCTGCAGCCCAACCTGCTCCTACTCCACCCTAAGAGGAAGTCAGGGGTGTTGTGTGACCTTGACATGGCTGACAGGAGTGTGTATCATGCCAAGTACCTATTTCCATGGCATTTGATCTGAGCACTCTATATAATATGTGAAAAAGCATGGCCATAGACCACTAAGGAAAGATTGGTGACATCTGATGGAGGGAGTAGAATATACCTGGTGATGGTGATTGCCCAGGCACAGCAGACATACTTTCACCATGCTTTTCATCATCTAGTGGAGCCTCAGCATGGTAATCTGCACCCATTGACTCACTCAGGAAAGGAACAGTCAGAGCACAAAGTTCATCAGCATTGAGGCATTTGACATTGAAATCTGGACCAACAGCAGGGACTCCAGCAGGCCAATCAGTGATGGTATACTGGTGAACATACAGCAGATCAAGCAACAACTTCCAAGAAACATTTCTCTGGCCTCATGTGATACCATTCTCTTCTGTGGCAGCACTTCAGAGGATGAATATGAATCAAATAGATTTATTGATGTATGGAATTTATGGAGTATGATTGTAGGTACAACTTGCCAATTGCAATCATGTCTGTATTCTTGAGGTTTTAATCCCAGTGCATGGTCATAATGGGGTTGTGACAGCACAATAAAGTCAGGAAGAGGCACTGAAGCAGCAGAGTTAAGGATTTTATACCAAAAGAAAAGTCAGTGGGCAATTGTACATGGTATATGTTATACATACTTGATAATTGTGGACAGGTATTCTAATAATTGTGTTATGTCAGTCTGCCTCTCACTTGCAAGCTGCATGAGAAAGGAGGATCCAGCAAAAATTCCTTGGGATTGGCATGCAGCTTCATCACTCCCACTATAAATTACACATCTGAAGACATGTATGCCCTCCACATTGCATCAAGTTTGTGCCTGTACAAGAGGTTATTCAAGAAGCAAATGATCACAATGGTATTACCCACCCCTTGTGTAAAGGAGTCATGGCCCACCATTGCCTTTGAACTGATGTCTTTGGACCCACTGACACACTCACTCCAATACTTCTGGATCTCAGCCCACAGTTGAGGATGTTTGTCCTCATCTTTATGGTCCTCATAGTGCTTGGTGTGACACCTATAGTAGTCTTTGGTTTCCTCTGCAATTGAATCAATGTGGAGTCAAAACTGCAACAAGTTAGGATGTACTGACCTGCAGATGCTTTTGGATTGGTATGTGCATACCAAGCCTGATGCATGTTCCACACAGATTCAGCACAAGTTGCCTTTGTGGTAAGACCAGCAGCAGCCATGATTGACCCAAGAGTCTTGCCATACTCATCTGCAATTGCCTGGGCCTCTTGAGTGGTGTGCATGCCAAGTGCCTGTGCCTTTCATATGGCTTCCAAGGGAAGCCACCCTGGTTTGAAGTGCAGTAAGCCTGCTTCTGCACTGGATGCATCCTCACATTGACTGAGGTCACTGGCTAGGGTAGGTACAGAGGGTGTGACTACTACCTTGCAGAAGGCATGATGTCATCCTTTGGGTTTCCTATGCATCCTGGTCATCTCCAAGCCATCAGGGAGGTCTCCAGTGTCACTAGGTCCATCCTCATCTTCAGAGGATGTGTTGGCTAGGGCATGAGATTTCCCTTTGGCTTCCCTACACCTCCTGGTCACAGAGCTGTCAGTGTCACCTTCAGTATCAGCAGCTCCTTCTTCTTCTTCTGATGAGGATGGAGAAGGGAGAGGGGGTGTGGAAGGATGGTTATCAGTATCATAATTGCCAGCACAGATTTCTCTCAGGGTTTGTTTGCATTTAAGGTCATGCCTCTGGTCAACTGACCAATCACTGTCTATTCAATGACACATGTAAATTATGTGAATAATGCAGTTTAATCAAATAAACAAACCTGATGCACTTTCATGCTCAACATCATCATGACAAATGGAGTCCATCATATTTTCAACAGCTTGGCGACCATCATGATCCACCAGGTTCTCTGAGACCAGATCACCTTCAGCTTGCACCATACTCTCAATAGCTTGTTCATCCTCTTCACTGTCATTGGGGTAACAGCTGGTGGTGACCTTGAGAAGGAATACAGCTACATACATAGATCACACACTTACACTTTTTGCAACCCTGCTCAGCAACTATATCTTCCATAGAAATGATGCCCAATCATAGCTGCTCAAGGGCAACAGTGTGGTCAAGCTTCATACTGTTCTGGAGTACAACCTGTCTCATCTGGAAGGAGTCAAGGTACTGATCCTTGCATTCTTTCTCTGTCAACCCTTGCGAAGAATTGTGACTTGAGTGCGGTTGGAGAGGGGGACATCAAGCTACAGAGCTGGATTCATGGTTCTGAAAACAGTGGTCAGTAAGCAAAAAAAAAAAAAAAAAGGTAGTACTACACACTGGGCACTCCTCACCATCCCCTGACATTGGCTCATGTGTTTCAGAAATCATATCCTGATTTCCACCTCACACCGATGGAAAGAGTTGAGACAGTTGTACACAAGACACAGGAAGTAGGTCTGTACTCATGTTTGACTACCCAGTGACAGGCCTTTGCACCATGTGAAGGTTGGGCTTTGGTGGATGAAGTGACAGTAGGATTGACTCTCTTTGACCTCTGGGCACCAATGGGGAGACCAACTTCAAAAGTAACAGCAGATGACCTAGTTGCAGGTGTGATGCATTTGACCTGGTAGACACATAGTCAAACTGTGGGCCAGTGGAACTGTGGAACATGTAGTCACCACACTCTTTGCTGATGTGAAATCAAGCGAGATGGAAAGGAAAAGATGTTCAGGTAAGGAATGACTAGGTAAGGAAAGACTGGGTTCAGGCCAAACATTGGTTAGTGGACAATTTATGATCTTGCACAAAGGGTTACACACCTGATTTGAAGTGAGTGAAGAAAAGAAGGCAAGGAAGAAGAGAAAACAGAGGATGAAACATTCACTACTGAGCTATTTATTTGGTCCTGGAAGAAGCCTACACACCTAATTCACACTAGCACCCTCACTTCCTTCTAGCTTGCACAATCCTATTGAGAAGGGTCAACTGAATGGAAATCTGGCATTCAGGGCAGAGGAAAAATGCAGCATGTCAACTGATAGAGTAGGACTGTCATTGTCATTGTGAGCAGAAGATGTAATAAAAACAAAAAGTTGATGTCAAACCTACAGACAGCAGCTCAAGGGTGATATATTCTTTTGACAAATAACCATGGTAGGTGTCAGTGAACAGTTGATAACAATACAGGTACCTTGGAATACAGATGAGATCACTACAAGAAATTAGGTTCAGGGAGCATTGACATTAAACCTTATTTTGACATCTATTTCATAACATTCATAGATTCAACAAAAGATTTAAACATACCTCCTTGGACAACAGTACCAGATGGAGTGGGTAAGGAATGAGACAAGTGCCAATGAACAGGGTAATGTATACCTGGTAATGAGAGCGGGTATATTCTTAGATCCAACAAACAGAGACCACTACACATACCTGATGACAATGGTGAACAAATTTGACAATGATACAGGTACTTTGGACTACATACAGCACAGAGTTGGTGAGGAATGGAAGGAGATCATTACCAGAAACTCAGTTCTGGGAGCATTGACATCAAACTTTATTTCTGCAGTGATTGACAGGTGCTAGCAAATGAGATGGGTACCTAGGGATTATGAGAGGCTGACCACATTCATAAATCAATGTAAACAGACCACAAGACATACCTGATAACAGCAGTAACTGTAGATCAAGAGTATGTAACAATATCCATAGCTCAGACTATGATAGCAGTTGGCCAAGTGAAGAATGAGGCAAGTACCAACTAACAAGATGATTTATACCTAGATATTAGAGAGGGTGATTGGATTCATAAATCTAACAAAAAGAGACTGACACATACCTGATAGTGATGATAAGTCAGCCCAACACCTGATGACAATAGATGTACCCCCAACTGCAATACAACAAGGAGTGGGTGAGTGAGGAATGAGGTGAGCACTGATGGAGATAATTTGTACCTAGATATTAAAGAACATGATCAGATTTGTAGGTCCAATGAAATGCAAAGGTAGGACATACCTCATAACAATGATAAGTGAGGATCAACAGTCAATAACTATGTATCTACCACAAACTGCAATTCAACAGAGTGGGTGGGTGCAGAATGAGGTGAGTGGTCAAGTGGAGATGAATGAGATAACTTATACCTAGATATTAAAGAGCATGATCAGATTTGTAAGTTCAACAAAAAGTGACATTGGCACATACCTTATAATCATGATAAGTGGGGATCAACAGCTGATAACAATACACCTACTGCAGACTGCAATAGAGCACAGAGTGGGTGGGTGAGGGACATGACAAGTATGGACAAATGAAATGATTTAAATCTCATAGCTGATAACAAGAGTTGCAACAAGTACAGATTTGAATGAGATGATTGAAACCTCACATCTGATAATGATAATGAGTCAGGATCAACATCTGCTAACAATAGACATACCTCAGACAGCAATACTAGGCAGAGTGACAGTGACCCAGGAGAGAAACAAGATCAGTGCTAATGAATGAACATAGGTGTTTAGAATCAGCTGGAGGGAATAGTGCTATAAAACATACCTTTGTGAGTAGGAAGGAGAGGATCTGGGGTGAAGGGCAAGATGAACTCCTCAAGGTCTTGAACCCCACTAGCAGTGCAGTGGTGCTGGGGTGACCTCAGTGATGCAAAGTCAACAGAGTATGAACTGCAGCAACACAAAGTCAGCTGCAGCTCTGAGTGAGCAGCATGGAGCCAGCTCAGGTTCAGCCAACATGTCCAAACTTGAAGCATAGAGGCAGCAAGTGGGAAGATGATGATGGGGAGGTGAGAGGATGACAGTCATTTGTAACAAAGCACAGAGCTGCTGGGCACTGTGCAGCTGGAACATGGTCCTGTGACTTAGGTATTTTTGCCCTGGGAATTCTCCAGGCTATCACATCAAACATTGCTATCAATATATGTACGTAAGCATAATAGGTAAATCCCTACAAACAAACAAATACTTATGATTTCCTGACCACAACTACTCTTCATCCTACTACCCTTGCCTTCCTCACTTCATCACTCAGCACCTCTGCCCTCAAGGTTTCAAGTCCCTCCCCACCACATGCATCTTCTCCCATTGGGTTCAAGTTGGCTTCATGCTGCTCATCTTGACCTGAAGTTGACTTTGTGTCACATTAGGTTGCACTCTGTTGACTTCACATCACTGAGGTCACCCCAGCACCACCACACTGCTTAGTGGGGTTCAAGACCTTGAGGAGTTTGTCTTGCCCTCTACCCCAGATCCTCTCCCACCATCATCCTTCCATTATTTTCTTGTATAAGGTGTGTGTTCTATACATCCTATTCACCCTGTTGTTCACCCCATTGTTCATTTCATTGTTCACACTGCCATTCATTTTGCCATTCACCCCACCATTCACTTTGTCATTCACCCCACTGTTCACCCCATTGTTCACCCTGCCATTCTTCCTGGATCATCTTCTACCACTGTCATGTTCTGATTTTCTTTCATAAAAGGTGCATGTCAATTACATGCCATTCACACCATTGTTTACCAAACCCTTCACCCTGGACCTTCTCCTACCACTGTCATACTCTTATATTCTTTATAAAGGTGCATGTTGTTTACATGCCATTCACCCTGTCATTCACCCTGCCCTTTATCCCAGACCCTCTCCCTGTTGCAATAAATGCGACCAGACAGGGGATTGAACCCTGGACCTCCCAAGTTTCGACTGGGTGCTCTAACCACTGAGCTATTTGGTCAAGGTATCTAGGCTTACTTGGTGTGGTTTAACCACCAAGTGCTAGTAGGGACTAGCGTTGCTGAGTGCTGGAGTACTACACCTGCAACAGCCTCCCCTAATCCAGTGCACAGCAACAAGGCGCAAGCGTGGGAAATCACTGCCTAAAGTGGCAACTGCCTTAAGTGGTAGGTCTTACACATGCTGCCTCCTGCAAAGGTCTTAGATGGCTCAGGGGCCATTCTGCCTTAATTGGTAGGGCTTACACATTGTTGCCTCCAGTAAAGGTCTTACTGAGGCACAAGTAGGTCTTAATGGGGAAATCCCAGCTGTGGGAATCCATTGCCTTAAGCAGAAAGGACTTACCAGGATATTCCCACAAGCGCCCGGGGCTCATAACCTGTTGCAATAAATGCGACCAGACAGGGGATTGAACCCTGGACCTCCCAAGTTTCGACTGGGTGCTCTAACCACTGAGCTATTTGGTCAAGGTATCTAGGCTTACTTGGTGTGGTTTAACCACCAAGTGCTAGTAGGGACTAGCGTTGCTGAGTGCTGGAGTACTACACCTGCAACACTCCCACCTCCAACATTCATTTGCTTTCTTTCACAAAGGTGAGTATTTAATTACATGCCTTTCACCCTGTCACCAACTAATCTACACATGATCTGTCTGTTATTCCTTGCAGCTCAATTCCAACACAAGTGAAAATGTCCTGGGGGACTGCACTTGCCCAGTTCAAAGTGTTCACCCAGCCCAGTGATGGTATGTTCCTCTACTTTTGTGTTTTCCCAGAGCTTACTTACCATCCACAGCTAAAATTACATCACTGGATGCACAAGTGGTCACATGCAAGGACCACTGGGTGAGCATGTTGCCCAATGCAGACTTCATTCCAGAGCTGTACATTTTCAAAGAAATTGATCTTTGTCTGTGTGCTGATGGTCAGTTTGGCCTTGTTGATTGCTTCCAATGGCCTCAAACATATGAAAAACACTACAAATATGTTGTTTGCATACCTTGAAAAAATACAGTCCCTACTCTCAATATTGCTTGGTTCACTCTGACATCCATGGATTTCATCCTTCCACTTGGCTCTGTGTATCTGGTGGGAATGCTTGAAGGGGCAAAGGTCAAGGCCTTTGAAGAACTACTTCAGCAACTGTGCAGCTGCTATCACCCCCTCTGCAATTGACCTGTGGGTCAAGACCTTATGACCCAACTAGTGTGGTTGGTTCAACACAAGGTTTTGTGCTTGCAGCATCACCCCCTTTTATTCCAAGACCTTGTCATTTTTGTTGCCCAGCTTCAGCACAAGTTGCTTGACATTTATGCTTTGCTCGAATACATTGAGATCCTCTACCCACTTCTTTCATCTCCCTGCTCAAAACCTGTACACACCTGGATGGGGTGCTTTACAAAGGATACTGCCACTTGCAAAGCACTATATTTTGCTGGGGTGCCAGTCTGGCTTGTATGTACCGAGGCATACATCCCCCCTGATATGAATATCAAGGAGCCTGTGAGATTGACATGCCCTGAAGACATAGTGAAAGCTATGTATTTGGAAAAGGGGGTAGCTAAGCCATTCTCATCAATCTACCATGGTCCTGGCAGTCTCCTGTGCCACATTCACACTTGCAGGGACTATGAGGGTACATTTGCAGAGCAACCAGAGCCCCTGCAAGAATCATTTGCCACATCCTCATCGAACCCATCTCCAAGCACTGGGAAGCAATCAATGAAAAAGCAGACAAGGGCTGCCAGGGAACAAGCGACTGCAGGCCCCTCCAGAGGTATGTACCCTAATTTTCTTTCTGCTTGTTCCTGACCAACTTGTAGCTTCGCACCCCAAACAATCAGGTGGTGGGGACTCAGTGAGGTGGGAAGAGCCTGATCTTCCAGAAATTCCCAAGCCCCACAGTCTGTTTGCATTGGCTTGGAGGAAAGCTTCAAAGGATATGTCCAGAGTCAAGTCAGGCATTGTGGACCCTGGTTATCGCTTTCTGAAGCCCACACTGTTGGTCAATGTGACCACCCCTGAACGAAAGAAGATGTACATGTTGAATTGGCTCTCTGCTCATCTGGCTTGGATGAATCGAGTTGACATTTGGTCTCTGCAGAAGAACCCTTCCCCTCAGATGTGGAGTCACTTCCTCAATGGTACTGACACAGAGCACTTGCCCTCTGGCACCCAGAGGGCATCCATGAAGTTGGCAGTTCAGGAAATTTTGGGGGACATCATTCAAACAGCTCATGATGATCCTGTTCATATGTTGGAAGAGATTGAGTGGAGGGGAATGCAGGTTAGTATTTCATCCTATTTAGATCTGTTCTTTGTACTTATCTTGTGCAGGTCTGGGCTTCGAGCCTTTCAGACCCACCCCTTCATTTCACACATTCCCTTTTATGGGAACTCTATGAACTCAACTTCTGCTATGAACTTCATGCACTCAATCAGGCCCTTGTCCCACAGCTTTGGCCTGATAGCCTAGATAAGTATATGTGCCAATCACTTCTTTGGTCTATCTTCCCTGTTGGATGTGGTCTTTCAAGTTGGTTGGTGCCTCTTCCTCAGGAGCTGTGTGATTTAGGGTTGACTGCTAGTGAGATGGAGGTGGCATTGCCCTATCTGAACAAGTTCTGTCAGTTGCTATCTGCATGGCCAGGAGCGCCCTTTCATTTGAAGTCCCCAATCAAGCTGGATGGCTCTGGCAACCAAGCAGCATACAAAGCCTTCATCTTGGCTTGTGAATTCTACATCCAAACTGCATTTGATTATCTTGGGTGTCAACCATTCCTCCCCCACATTTTTACCTTTGTCTGACATCCTCTGCCACATATACTTTTTTTTTCTGTCCAAATTTGTTTAGTATGAGTATGTACCATGTCATAAAGAAAGCTGAATCAATTCAATGATTCAGAATGTTGCCTGTGACTGAACCTTAATCTCACACTTTGTGCTCACTGCTTTTTTTTTTTGTTGATAGCAACATGTTATTCACTGACACTCCCACTGCCAGGCAAGGAATGTTCCCATTCCCCTTCACTGCTATTGATGCTTTATCTGCATCAAGGTCTGCACCATTTAATTCTTTGAGACTCATTCTGCTTGGTATGTATGACATCTTGATAATGGGGTTCCTGCTCACTGTGATGTTGATAGCAACTTTTGTCTTTAACTGCTCAAGACTTGTGCTCTGGTAAGTAGGATCCTACTTGGTTGTATGTGGTGATCTGATGAATTTTCTGCATAGTTTTTCCCTTCCAGAGGTTCATCATCTGGTCAAAATCTCCTTGGACTGACACCCCCTGCTGACTTCATGTCATGCTTTCCACCACCTGTTGACTTTGAGTCCCAGGTGTACTGCTGTTGGCTTTGTGTCACAATTTCCAGAATGATCTGAGATGGCTGTTTGCTGTCCAAGGCCTCAGAGGCATTGCAATGCTTCACCTTCTATGAGTAATTCTAATATTGTGAGTTTTCCCTGTCTTCAAGCCTCATGTTGTGCTCATCAGTTCTCTACAGGCCTCCTCCACTTCATCTGTCCAAGTTGGTCTGGTACCCAGTGTACTCACTGACCATCCTTCATCTTTGTCTGGTAATGAGCCATCACTTTGTACTTCTGGCCCTTTGGTGTGTGCAATTTCATTATGGTATTCTTCATATCATCTTAGCTCCCCTACAGGTCTTATCAATGTTGTCTGCCTCAACCAACTGGCTGCCCAATGTAGCCACTCCATCATCAAACAACCAAGTGTCACTTGGTATACCTGCCCCTTCAGTATGTTCTGATCCTATGTCTAAGAGGTTACACATGTTTATTTTTGGGTAGAATATGACACAGTCATTGTTTGTCCCTCCTCCCCTAGCTTGTCAATGCCACCCTCTTGGTATGAAAGTGCTGTACCTCCCTGCACCTCCACCTGTCTTTGTACTTCCAGGCCACCAATGCCATGTTCAAGATACTGCTGCAATGCCACATTGCCCTCAGCACCAACCTGTTGATGTCTTCAATGCTGTGAATGAGCTCAAACTCAGTGAGGTTGGCTTGCCTTCATGTCTGAGTGGTTCACAGAAGTGTGAGAACCAATGGTGACAGTGGTCACAAGATATCATTCCAGCACTTCTCAGGCCCTACATGTGCTATCTCGAGGCATCCCAATCCCTCCACATGGTGGTAGATCCCCCAGACATCCATCAATGTTGCACTTGCACAGTGTATCAACTCACTGTTTGCTGTCTCTTCTTTGACTGTATGTGACCCTTTTGTTGTTTGCTCTTGTGATGCTCATGTATACCCAGGTTTGGAGGATGTCAGGATAAGCTACTGTGCATGCACCCCAGCTCCTATATGCCTCATGGGCCATGGGTTATTGGCATCATCTCCTGTGGTACCTACTCTGGCAGTTGACCTTTGTGTACTGGAGTTTGTAAAGAAGCTCTTTGTCTGGCTAACCCCAAACACAACTGCATGGTGTGAAGCACTTGAAAGCTTCCTGGATGGTTGAGGGTATAGACTGCAGTTCAAGGTATGTTCTTTTCCAAACACCATCACTGGATCTCTGCCTTTGTCTTCACATCCACCCTGTATGCTACTTGTATTGGTATATCATCATGGTTTGAATGTACATGTACCCACACAAATATCTCTGGTGTAATGATGAGTGCTTATTCAAATAATCAGGACAATCTCCAGCAGTGTTTCAGTAATGCTTATCATTGGTATATTGTATTGACAATATATGTGGAGGACCATATTTCTGCTATGGTCTGGTCCTTTCACCCAAACTCCATGCCACAGCAAGATAGCCCCTGGCCAAGTGACTACCTATGTGCTTGCTGTCCTCTTTGCTTTGGGGGAGGTGACTTACAGAGCTCTAACCCTCCTCAGGATGAGTGAGTCAATGACAAGCTCATTGTTGCTGACTAGATGACTGAGACCCAATAGCTTTGACTGCATTATCTGCTTGGATGCATGTTTCACTCAGAAGAGAACCAACAAATCTGCCACTGATGACCCTCCCAATCCCACCAGCACTGTATTCATCCCTGAGTCAGAGGTGAAGGCCATGGAGGTTTTCATTGAGAAACAGAGATCCCTCCCAACCAGTCAACATCATTCTCAGACTCAAAACCAGCAGGACAGGTTGGAGGATGGAATGAGGGTACCTGCCTCTGTGTTGGATGGGTGTGGAGGTTCTTTCCATGCAGCAGATGAGAAGAGGCAAAAAGCTAGCACACAATTTTTTGCAGATACAGGGCTTATGGCTTTGTTGTGTCATCATGATTGTGTCCTCTGGTTGGTTAATATGACATCAGCAGGGGAAAAGCAACACTATGCCCTAGTGCTGGTGAAACATCTCTTTGACCATCTCCCTGCCAAGATGACTGTTGGCCTCTTATATGACATTGGCTGTCAATTGGAGTGTAGCTGTTGAAAGTGGAAACTCCTTGATGATGGGATGCTCTCCAGGTTGAAGTTTGGTATTTCTGTCTTCCATGCTTATGGTCATCAATGGCCATGCCAATTGGTATATCACCCACATAAATGTGTAGGCTTTGGCTTGTCAGATGGTGAGGGGTGTGAGCAACTATGGAGTGCCCTAAAAATGCTTATTCCAATTCTTTGAGTATCTGGGGTAAGCATTGACTCTTCTTCAAATATAATTCCAGTGCTCATTTTACCCTTAGTATCATCAGAGATTATTTGTCCTTGACAATCAAATTTGACACTTGGACAAGAAGTCTTTTGATGCATTTGGCCAGTGGATGAGCAGGAAATGGTCCCTCTGAAAAAGTAGGAAATTGGTGGCTTTGGAGGCTCTTCATGCTCTGCATGTTGACATGCAGACTCTACAGCATGAGTGGGCTGCACAAGTACATGCACAAACTCAACTTCTACCTCATTAGTCTGTTCCCTTTGTGTGTGTGTGTAATCATATGACTCACCAACCTGTAGGTCAGTCAAAGAACAAGGGTTCTGAACAGTTGGCACATGTTCTTGCTCTGGAGAAAACAGTTGAGAACTATCAGTGCTATGTGGATCAGTTGGAGAAGGATCTTGTTGATGATCATGTCAATGACATTGTTGACTACAATCTACAACATGCCACAGCAAAAGGGTCACTGTCAAAGGCAGCCCAGGCCCTCAAGAAGAAAAAGGCTTCATTGGGACTTTCTGCCCAAACTGACCTTCATCTGCTGAGGAACAACAAGTGGCTCCAAATGCAAACAAATGCACAAGCACTTAAGGTTCAGATAAGGGAACAACTTTGTCAGTGCAAGTTTGAGTTCCAGCAACTACAATGGTCATATGGGACCTCTTCCAGTAGTGAGCAAATTTTAATTTCTGGCTGCTATTTTCAATAACATCATGTAGAAAACCATTTACAGTCACATGTGGAGTCATCCATAAAACAATGAGAGCCTACCATCCTGAAACTTGTCACCACATACAATAATCTCTGTGGTGAACTGCAGAGTATGATACAACTGTGTAAGGCACCACCTGGTGCCATCCCTCCCAATCCCATACCTTCTAAAGGTATCTTTTAGCTGGATGTTGATAGTGATATTTGGCAGGATGGTCTTGAGGAGCTTAGTGCTAGCACCCCACATTGCCTTGCTGATGAGAGTGTGCACAAGGGAATCAGGCTGTTGTTGGAAGTTGATCACTGTAATGAAGAAGAAAGAAGGTTGTCAAGAGAGTGGTCTATCATACAGGAATGGTTTTCCATGGAGTGGCTGAGTGTAAAGTCTGCTCTGGAAAATGTGGCAGGTGAGTGCAAATACCATGTTTATGTCCCATCTCATAGGGAGTTGGATGAATATTACAAGTATCACCTGCATGCCTACAGGGATTCCATTGTTGCAGTATATGTCAAATGGGAGGCCAAGGTTCAACATATGCCATATGCATGGGCTGCATCTAGGCCATGGGGACCTACAGCAGAAAACATCAGGGAGTGCCTTGCTGCCACACATAATCCTGGTGGAACCCATGCTTCAGAGGATCTAACAGCACCAGTATTAGAAGAGAATGACTCTGATGAAGGGGATGTAATGTCAGAAGGAGATGATGAGCTGTTGATGGCCATTGAAGAGATGGAACTGAGGAATGTCCCACTGAGCAAGCAAATGAAGGGGAATTTACAGAAGATGAGGATTGGTTGGAGGACATTGGAACTGGTTATTTGCCCTCATCACCATTACAGGTGCCATCAAAAAGGTGCAGATACTAGATGCATACCTAAGCTTCATCAATAAATAGTTTGTACCCAGAGAAAAGATATGTATGAGTAATCTACATTCAATGTTACCCTAAGGCACTCTGTGTTATGGTCACCTGCAATGCCTTTGGCCTCCTGCTGGGTCAAGCATGATGATTGATTAAACTGACAAGAGAATGCACATAGTGCATTGGAAAATCCCCAGAGTGGGTGGGAGATTCCCCAGGACAGAACTTGGAGAATCCCCAGTATAGCTTGGAGAATCCTCAGAGTAGGTGGGAGAATGCCCAGAGCAGGTTGGAGAATCCCCAGTATACCATGGAGACTCCCCAGAGTGGGTGGGAGAATCCCCAGAGCAGGTTGAAGAATCCCAAGCATTGCCTGGAGAATCCCCAGCAGTGCTTGGAGAATCCCCAGGTCATAGCTTGGAGAATCCCCAGAGTCAGTTGGAGAATCCCCAGCAGTGATTGGAGAATTCCCAGAGTGGGTTGGAGAATCCCTAGCATTGCATGGAGAATCCCCAGCAGTGCTTGGAGAATCCCCAGAGTGGGTTGCAGAATCCCCAGCAGTGCTTGAGGAATCCCCAGGACATAG